CTGTGTGTTTCTTTTCTTAATTTAAAAGCAAATATTAATTGAGTAATGTATAGTACTAAAATTTGAATTATAATCTACAGTTTGATACTAAAGTTATTGACATAAATTCATGAAATAATAGTTCAATAACATTTTGAATGTGAGTCAACAAACGGAATGACATGGCCTTTCACCCGTGACCCATCTCAAAAGGGTTAAAATAAACAGCTTACCAAAATGTGAGAATTGTTAGTTCTTTACTCTTGCTAATATTTTCTGGCTGTCATGTTTTTTTCTTATTATTTGGATAAGTGTAATGATATTTTATGCAAATGAACTCAAGTGGTTAGTGTATACAATATTTAATATCATGTACTTTGATTAGGAATGAATTTCAGATATTTGTTTGACCATTTCATGAATTTCTTGTTAAAAATATCTTTAGTAATGTCCTGATTTAGGTTTCTTCATATTAATATCACTGTATTTATTGTGTAATATTTCAATTATTAAAATTGAGCAAATAGTATGTAGCATAAAGTGAAATTGTCAATTTTTTTTTTCTTAATTGTTGACTTCTCTAGGGTTAGGATTACATATTAGCTAAAGAATCCTCTAACATCCTAAATTGCAGAAAATTGAAGAACTGGAAAAAGAGATTTTGAATGGTCAAAGAATGCAAGGGCCTCAGACAGCCGAAGAAGTGTACATTATGTTAAAGAACAAAGGAATGGAAGACAGGTTAGTTTCTAAATTAGCTTTTGATGTGAAACATGAATATACAGTCAAGTGTTTTTAGTATAACTTACTTCTGTTAGATTTTTGTTTGCTCTGTAATAGTCTTTAACAACATTTAAAGAGCCTGTTTCATTGGGTGTATTACTACAAAGCATTCAGTTTGCATTGCAGTCAGGCTGATTAGATGTATAAATATGACTTTATCAGTACACAACCTGTTTGTGGCTCACACCAAGAGGATGATTGAAAATTTTTATGCTTCAACTAATAATTTCATGAAGATACTTTTTTTTTTTTCCTTTCAAAGTAAAATATTATTCTAGTGTTTTTTGTTGTTTTTTTTCTTCAAAGCTTGCAAATTTCTTATAGATCTAATTATTGAATCCTCTAAGCATTTGGCATTGACATGGTCATGTTAGTAGTGAACACTGATGTATTTCATTACCACATCTAAGAAGCCTCGGTTCATGCTGTTGAGCTTCAGTGTTACATTATGTTTTTGACATTAAATGAAGAGTGGCATAGCAAGCAAATAAAGTAGAAGTTGAATAAAACTAATACTAATTTTTTTCCAAGTTTTACTTTTTTCAATAAGTGATTGTACAGTTTGTTGACACATAACCTGCTTAAAGGAATGAAAGTTTGAAACCAAGTCTTCTGAACATTAACTTAATATTTCATGAAGAATTTGAGCTTTACCAGTTTGAAAGTGATGTCCAAATTTGCTGTTTCTTTCATTCAAGGATGATTGTATACTACCTACCACCAACTTTGTTTAATGGGTGTCTTTGTTACTATATCCTTGTTGTTTTTTTCCCTCATGCCAGGTTTCCCTTGTTCACAGCCGTACATCAGATCTGTCAGGGTCAGCTTCCTCCGACACAAATGGTGAATTGTATACAGAACCATCCCGAACACATGTAGGGATGCAAGACATTGCTTTCTGTCCTGTGTTCCGGTATTTCTTCTCTTTGTTTTTAAATGTTTGTAAATTTTTTTTTTTGGTAATCCTCAGAGCAAGTTAACCCTGATTATTTTTAAAAAATGACACTTGTTTTCAAGTACAATACCTTTCTTACTAACGGTATAAAGAGATAGACATAATGCAGACAAAGAAGGTTGATTGCATGTGACACAAAACTTGATACACAATGATGCAGTTGGCATAAAACCCAAATTTAGCTATAATTAAGGGTTACAACTATAACTTAACAAATTTTTCTTTTGTACTGGTTTGACTATATTAAAGCAGGATTCACAAGATTAGTGACCAAAATTTATTATCAGAATAAATATTCAAGTTGTAGCTCATTGAGATACATAGAAATATTGAATATTTTGACACCAACTGGATGAACAGTAGTGAAATGACAGATGTTTACATTTTATTGTTTTTTTTTATGATTATAAATAATATAAGACAAATCTACCTTATTGATATTATTTATGTGAAAGATATAAAAAAACTATTATTTATTATTGGTATTATGTATACGGATAAAAACTAAACTTTTCAGAATTGTAAATTCCATTTTTGATTTTTGGAAATAATATTGCAAAAATAGTCAAATATTCAACATGAAATTCCCTTAAATAGTAGTCAAACATTTAAAATAACTTTTTATAAACATCTTGCTGGCATATGCAAAAAAAATCGGTTTTTGTATACAAAATTAACTTCTACAGACAAAATTTAAACATCCACCATTTTATTTCTGTTTACCTTGACCTGAAATTGGTATCTATGTATTCCGATAAGATAGCACTTAATTACTAACTCTGGTATTAACTTTTGTTCATCATCTTGTCAGTTCTTCTTTGATGGATATAGAATATATATTTCTTGTTGATCAAAGAGTTAAAATCTTGATCATTTTCTTACACCATTCATTTAAACCGTAAGATTAAGTTGTTTTTTAAAAAAACTGTTCTCAGTATGTTAGAGCTGGCTCAAGGAATCTCTTGGGATTTTGTGTACTAGTGTATGTAGTGGCAAAAAAAAAAAGCCATATGTCAAGATAAACAGTGCCATAAAAATATCTTCAGCATATTCCAGTCATAAAAATTATTGAAACAGACAGTCAGCAGGAACTGCCTGTGGCCATAGCTCTATGATTTTACATTGCTTGCAACTGTACAAGTTTCATTCTTGAAAGCTATTATTAAAAGTTATGTTATGATTTTTATTTGATTTTTGTACTTTCTTTTGTGAATTTGATTGAAGTTGTTTAGTTGAATGTTGACCTGGGTTTTATGTACATGTATTTCACTGAGTAAATTGGTACTTTGATATAAGAAAATAAACAAAGATAGCAATGTTTAATTTTTTTTATATAATTATTACTTTCATCAATTTCCACCATAGTAGAGAACTAATTAAGGATTCAGTTTTGTAATCTTTTTTTTTCTTGAAGGGGTGTTTTGTATGTTTTATTGTTTATCTCTAGGATACTGAGAAATATGATTAGAGCAATGCGACTGTTTTATTATAGCCTGTTTGAAAAAAAAGTAATTTTTGTAAAAAAAATTTACTTCAATTAGAAATGCAATTTATTTTACATCAGCTAATGTATAAGATTAACTCGATTAAATGTCCAAGTGAATTTACAAAAGAACGCAAAACCTGTTTTAAAGAGATTATCCTAAAATTTCCTTTTTACTCACAAAATGTGTTTAGTAATACTTTCATATCCCACAATGGTGAAGTTACCCTATATTTTATTTCAGTTGTAAAACTCTGGTCTTGATAATCACTGCTTCTCCAAATGTAAGTTGTCGCTCCATAAACATTTCACAAAAATATCTTTTTGTGACGTGTTAGCAGTTTACCATGACATTTATTTAATGTCTTTTTGTTTATGGAAATGTGTTGCATCAAAACGATACTAATCTTTCATGTGAAAAGGTTAAGGAGAAATTTTTTGTTGTTTTAACAATCTTTTTTTTTAGTATAGAATAATTACTAATGGCGAATAGGTTTTAAAATGTTTCTCAAGATTTTAATAATAATTTTACACCAGCACAGCTTATAATTGCAGTGTAGTGGGCAGAGACTTTGTTCTGTGTTGCTATGCACATCCTAGTGTAAATGTAAATATTATGTGACCACTTAGTAATTTCGTAATTATGAGTGTTCAGAACTGACTTGTGAATGTAATTTTATAATAGAATTTGTGAATGAATTCAAAGATTCTAACTTTATCCACTTAATCTTAAATGCTGTTATCTATAAATTTTTAAAAAAAATTTATACTGATTATTATAATTTTTTATTTGAGGTAAAGATTGTTTATTATTATTTGTTTCACATGGGTGAGCAAAATGTAAGGCTATTTTCCAATAAGAAAATGCTATGAATTATTACAATATGATTATAAAAGTTAAAAAAAAAACTGAACTCTTCATTAAGAACAAATGGCTTTAAAAGCAAAAACGTTTTAGTGCATGTATTAGAAATTGAATAAATAAAAATACTAGTCAGGGTGATTAGCAATACCCCATGTGGGAGGGGAGCTCGGAAAGAGTTCTTACAATGATACTGATCCAAGTTATGTACCTGAGTGACATTGTTAATTGTAATTATTTGCTGATGGTGTTGTACTTTTAACCTCTCTTGATTGTAGCTCTTTCTTGAGCACCAACAAATAAAGCTGACTTTTGTACCTATTGAAGAGCATAGTTCCGTCGTTTCTAGTGCTTGATTGTCGCGTGGCATCTTGTTTAATGCAAGTACTGCAGCATATCTGATATGTTGATCTAAGTAGAAGAGCTAAAAGTATATTGAAAGGAGTTTATTTATAAGAATAAAAAGGAGTCTATTTCTTGTCCAAAAAAAAAGAAAAAAAGATACTTACTGTAAAATTTCTCTAAATGTTTGGTAGGTTGAGATAAAATTTACAATATCTTGTTTTTCAATTAGTGCAGAGTATTTTTTACCATCACTCAAACAAAATCAAATCAAGGCTTAGAATCAGTCTAGCTAACACTACAGTTGTCAAATTGTACTTTGGTTCACAAAGGTAGATTCAAGATCATTTAAACCTTTACTGTGTAGTATCTTTATTTAAAGAAGAAACTGTTCTTAATGCAAAGAAGAGCAAAGGAAGAGGATGAATTAAAATAAGCAAGTTGAGTATCTTTAATATAATGGCCAACATAGACCAACCAGTTTTTGTGTGGACAAGTTAGAGTTAAATCTAACTGTGCACCTAGAATTGTAATGTATGTAAGCAAGCTGTTAGGCTGGGATGGCAACTTGACAGCACATGTGCCAAAAATGACATCAATGAAATTTAGTTGGGACACTGAAAGATCAAACAAATAAATAAATACATGTAACATTGTTACTCTAAAAATTTATAAAATATAGGTATACGTGTATAGCACGCATAAAACTGTTACACTTTTATTCTTTTGCACCAGTTAAAACTTATTTACCATCCCTTCTGTAGAGGTTGCTACAAAAATTACACTATTATAATCTTTTGAATTAGTCTCCAATAGTTTGAAGGTACTGAGGAGTAAAGTAGGAGTTAGCCTTTTTAAGTCAATGGTCTTTTGCTAGTTAATCTTGGCTCCTACTAGGGAATTTTTGGTCCTAATAGTGAATCATGGCTTCTATTGGGAAGTGTTGGCTCTTACTAGTGAATCAAGTATCCTTAGAAAGTAGATCTCAAAATTCTTTCTTTCTTATTAGTATTTTATGTTGCCTTATTCATATCAGTGAGTTACTTTTCTGCATTTCTAACCCAAACAGATGCCTACTGGCTTAGTTCTGGAACTGCATACTCCACTTTGCTTAGAATAAATGACTCCCAGCATGCACTGCAGTGGTTTTGATTATCATACATTATGTTTAAAATTATATGGAAAAGTTATGTTAACAATTTTTACAATTGATCTTATGAATCAAGAAAGAACAAAATAGTTTGTATTTAAAAAAAGGATTAGGGAACATTGAGTTAAGTGTTTTCATTAGAGTAAACTTGTTACTTGAGATGGATTATAGCACCACCTTTTATGAATAAGTTTTATTATATTAATGTCAAGTTTTATTTATATGTTTCTGTTTAACACTTATATCTTGGTAAAACTGCAATTTAGAATTTATACCCAAAGTCACATGTTTTTTGTTTTGTTTTTCCTTAAAAGGATTTCTCGTTGAAATAAGAGTTCTTGGGGGTGAGACAGTCTTGCTGTGTAGGCCATTATATAAAAAAAAATGCTATCTCGAGTGATAAAATTATTTTTTTACAAGCTTGAAATGCCTTCAAATTGTCCAGATTGTTAGGGGCAGGAAATAATATGGGGCTTTCACAGAATATGTTCATTTTAAACTTGGATATTTATCTGGTGATATATTGGTGACATTATATCTTAATTGAGGCTCATTGGAAGTTAGAGACTGAATATTAGAGTAAGTAAGAGTTTTCATTTCAATAACCTGCATGTGGGGTTACTGTGTTGTTTCTCATTTTGATTATCATTACCAGAAGCATGCTGAGTTTCAGTTATGTTTTATCAAAATTTGTGCTAAATCAGAGGAACATTGACTTGCATCTTGTTTCTAGAAGGGTTTTATAATTACCATATATATAAAAGTGAAATACCCTCCCCAAGATTAATAAAGCTACATTATGTGGCAGCTGTTATGTGTATGTTTGATAAACTAGAGATGTATAGGTTTATTTGAATTCTGACTGGAAACTAAGCAAAAAAAAAATCTGAATAAATTTGAGATTATGGCCATCATGCTGATTAATTCTTGAATCATAATCACCTTCAAATAAAACTTCTCCTGTGGATGAAATTAATATGAAGTGTTGGGAAAAGAGGAATAATACTGTAATTCTTACAATATCAAAAAGAATAATTTTGGAATTTAATGTCTTATAATTTTTATTATGTTTTCTAAACATTACTTTAAAAGATTTTATGTAAGGTAAATCTAACATAACTCAGTTTTCAAGTCAGCAGGGGTGAATTTATCTAGGGGATGAAAGTAGGGGCATATTCTGGCATCTTTTGACATATGATTGAGAAAGAAGATTGACATAGTTCAGCATTCACCCAAACAAGTTAACCAACCACCTCTGTCCACTCAAACATTCCAATGCACCCTGATGCAGACAGTACGAATATAGACAACAGGGCAATGGTTCATTGAACACCACTCATCAAAGTGAAACAGGTCAAACTTACACTTTTTTTTTAGGAATTATGTTTGGTTCCAGAAGCAGTTTATTACTACTACCAGGATGTCAACTGTGCTAAAAAACGAACTTGGGTATATTTCTCCAAGTACACACGATATTTATATTATCCACATACATCTGATCAAGCAATTGCATCTAAAAATACAGCAGTGTGAAGTTTATAGTATTCCAAGTATTAATAGTTTTTAGTAATACGTTTTATCAAAACTTACTTGAATTTGGTTCAAAGGTGTTTATCAAACTCGGTCTGTTAAAGTTTGTAAGTTTATGAGATTGTTTGTTAATTTGCTACTTTGTTGTGAGAAAAAATTCATTTCAGGAAAACAATACAAGATTAGATATTTTTCTTATATTAATTTTTTTTCGTTTGATTTTTTACCAATGGATATAAAAATAGCTTGACGATATTACAGAGGACTTAGATTTTTATATTATTCATTTCTGTATTGTTAATACGAATTTAATTTAATTTGATTTGATCAGTATCCTTTCATCGGGGTGACTATTTAGGTGTTAAACCAGGGATGGTCAGGAATTGTTTTTTTCCTCTTCAAACAAATTAAGTACTCGGAATATTTTTCTTTTTATCAAAGTTTATTTTGCTCTGGAAAACAAATATGTAAACACATAAACGTCGACTAATTCAAAGTCTCAAATATTAGAATTATAAAATATAAAACAAGAATGTGAGCAGGTGGAACATGAATTTTTCTTCTGATACTCAAGTGTGAGTGAACAATATGATGTTGTAAAACACCTAATATAAGTTAATTCCTTTTTTGTAGTTACATAGTGCTGGACCTTGTTTCTACATCACATTGTTCTTCATATGACAGTGGACCTGGAGTTGACTTGCCGGACTGTGAATCTTAGGGTCAGTAATCCGCGTCCCTTGCCACAAAATCGCGCTTTGCAAAATTAGGAATAGTTAGCGCAGATAGCTTCTTTGTAGCTTTTAATGAACAATCGAAACAAAAATTTAGGAAACTTTTTTGTAGTTTACAGAAATAATAAGTCAAGTAAGTAGCCATTTAACAATATCATATAAACTTATATCAAAATGGAAGGCAATAATATTGCTACTTTATTTTCGATATGATGAAAAACAATAAAGACGAACTAGGTAAAAAATAAATACGAAATTTACTAAACATAACTTCTTAATTTTATATTTGGTAATATAGAGTTAAAACTTTTCTACGACCCGGCATGGCCAGGTGGTTAGGGTGCTCGAATCGTAATCAGCGGGTCGTGTGTTCGAATCCCTGTCCCACCAAACATGCTCGCCCTTTTAGCCATGGGGGCATTATAATGTGACGGTCAATCCCACTATTCATTGGTAAAAGAGTAGCCCAAGAGTTGGCGGTGGGTGGTGATGACTAGCTGCCTAACCTCTAGTCTTACACTGCTAAATTAGGGACGGCTAGCGCAGATAGCCCTCGTGTAGCTTTGCGCGAAAACAAACTTTTCTACTTTATGCACTTCTTTTATAAGGGGAGTGACTTCAAATGAATCTGAAATGTTCAGATATCACTTTTTATACATGAAGGATTTTGCTATTGAATAATTTCAGATAAACCATAGTAACACTATACAATATATATCTCTTTCCCCCGATTTGTGTGCCACTACTTTCATGATTAAAATAACAAACTACAACGTATGCTTTGAAAAACATCTTTTACAGCAAGTAAACTACGAAATATATATATATATACAATAAAATAGCTTTTCAAGCAAGGGCGTACAAAAGTTAATTGACGCTCTAGGCCTACAATTTTTTGATGCGCTCCCTTCCTTCTCGAATGACTCGCCAGGAAAATTATCCATAAACACGAGAACAACTATAAACCGAAGTGCAATAAAATGGGTGGAAGTTGGTTTTATCTTAAAATATTTCAAAATCAAATTTATTTGTTGTTTTTTTTCCCCATAACATGCGCCCCTGAAATTTTTGCGCTCTAGGCCCAAACCTTGAAAGCCTATTGGTTAATACGCCCCTCTCTTCAATCAGATCATAAACTGTTCTGAAATTAAAGTTTAGGAATATTATTTATTCACTGAACGCAGTTAATGAATCAGTTTCATTGACAATATATATCTACTTACTGAGAATTTACTAATTCTTGATTCTTAGTAAATTAGTTATATTTTTTAAATAGTTAATTTGATTATTTTATCTGTTTTGTGAATGTCTTTGTTCACAACCCAACAAATGATTCTTAGTAAATTAGTTCGCATAAAATACTACTTGTTATCCATGGAAGAAGGGTACATTCAATTCAAAATGGTCACAATTTGTCACTACTTATTATCCATGGAAGAAGGGTACATTCAATTCAAAATGGTCACAATTTGTCGCTACTTATTATCCATGGAAGAAGGGTACATTCACTTCAAAATGGTCGCTACTTATTATCCATGGAACAATGGTATATTCAATTTAAAATGGTTACAAATTTTTGCTACTTACTGTCCATGGAAGAAGGGTACATTCAATTCAAAATGGTCACAATTTGTCGCTACTTATTATCCATGGAAGAAGGGTACATTCACTTCAAAATGGTCACAATTTGTCGCTACTTATTATCCATGGAAGAAGAGTACATTCAATTCAAAATAGTCGCTACTTATTATCCATGGAACAATGGTATATTCAATTTAAAATGGTTACAATTGTTTGCTACTTACTATCCATGGAACAAAGGTACATTCACTTCAAAATGGTTAGCATTTTTTGCTACTTACTATCCGTGGAACAAGAGTACATTCAATTCAAAATAGTCGCAGTTTGTGTCTGTCTGAATCAAACTTTTTTTTCCAAAAAAACTCAGATTTATCAAATATATATATATATTCAGTAACGTGTATGCCCGCCCCATGTATTAAATAGGGTATTGCTCGGGTTTAAAATACCAAATAACATATTTCTATTTTAAAAAACACTGTTTTTACGTGCTTTTCAGAAAAGTAACTCTGAACTCGCCAGACACCAGAGAGATATATATGACAAATATTCACCTAGTCAGATCTGGATTAACCTATATGCGCTCGGTGCAGAAGCACAGGGCCCCCAGCTCAGAGTGGGCCCCTGACTACCGGAACAAAAAAAAAGAAAACCTAAACTGATTTCTAGAAATAGGTGTATATGACGATCAAAATCCCAAAGTTCCTTGTATGATATTTTCGAGACCCACTAATCAACAAAGTCAAGAAATGAAAAATATCTGGAACCACCCTCGTGGACGAGAACAGTGGTCTGCTCGATTGTGAGTTTGTTTAGCAATTTGAGTTGGCCCTGATCAAATATTTGACGATTATGAAAGTAACTTATTACTTCGAAAAGAAATTGAATTGGTTCTTAGACCCCCCCCCCCAAAAAAAAAAATTATGGGTCCACCACTGTTTGGCATTAAATTGTTAGAGTAAAAACTCGAAATCTTTGCATTGTCAGTAGCAGTTCCATGTTTTCTACTGAGAAAGATTTAACTTTTTGTTATTAATAATAGTAGCATAAGAATGTATTCTAATATTCACATGCCTGTATATATCATATGCTCTATGTAGCTAAAGAAAGGAGAGACAAATTTTCCAAAGTGAAAGGGCCCAAAATACTTTAATCAGGCACTGACACTAGTTTTCCTTTCTTTATATATTCTTTACTATGAAAGCAGGGTGTGCTTCTGTCTTCATGAACAGGAATTTATATAAAAAAATATGTTGGAAAAAGTTTATTATGTAGCTCATATTAAAAATGGCCAGGTGTATAAGGCGCTCGACTCACAATCTGAGGGTCGCGGGTTCGAATCCGCATACCACCAAACATGCTCGCCCTTTCAGCCGTGGGGCGTTATAATGTGACGGTCAAATCCCAACTATTACGTTGGTAAAAAGAGTAGCCCAAGAGTTGGCGGTGGTGGTGATGACTAGCTGCCACTC